AAAAAAAATACCTTTAAGGCAGAGGGAGTCACTGGTTCAACAATCTCACAAGTGTTTTTTATGTTAGAAATCTGGACATTCAGTCAAGGATTGTAACTTGAAAGCTGGTTGCTTGTGTTGTGGTAAAAAAACACCATATTTTTCTGTGTAGAAAGATGCACCAAATAACTATGTCAAAAAACGAAGAATCACCTGAAGTTGAAAAGAAAACTGAGATTAGTGCTGAAGTGGATCAAGCTCTTTCAAATTTATCTTCTACTCTGGACGTAATGCTTCAAACATTCAAAGTTATAATTAGAAGTAATGGGAAAAAACGCATCGCAAGAGCTATTATTGATACTGCTTCACAGCGATCATATTTATTAAGAAGTACAGCTAAAGAAATGAACTATGAACCTCAGAGTTGTGAATATTTACAACACTCTTTATTTGAAGGGAAGGACTCAGGGATATGCAAGCATGATGTATACACTTTATATTTATCGAGTGTGCATGGGAATTATAATTGCAACTTTCAAGTTCTTAGTCAACAAATTATTTGTAAGTCAGTGCCACCTACTGTCAACAAGCTTTGTCTGAAAGAGTTAGCAGCCTGTAATATAAATATTGTGGATGATTGTCAAAATCCTATTGAGATTCTTATTGGGGCTGATGTAGCTGGAAAACTCATGACAGGTGATCGTCGTGAGTTGCCTTGTGGTCTCGTAGCTATTGAGACCAAATTTGGATGGTCAGTTATGGGACGAATGCCGAATACTTCGAAAAGTGAGTTTTCATCATCGTTCTTAGTTACATCCTTGTTATCTACTGTGGAGACCATAACAGATCTATGGACTTTGGACACACTTGGGATCACTGACCCATCAGTCAAGAAAAACCAGACTGAACTACAAGAAGCTGTTCGGTTACATTTTCTAAATACAGTTTGTATAGTCGATGATCGTTTCAAGGTTAATTTGCCCTGGTTGGAATATCATCCACCACTAACAGACTATTTTGACTTAGCCGAGAGAAGACTGAACAAAACTGTTAAAACGTCTTAAAATCGAGTCCAATTATGAAGCTTATGGAGATGTTTTCAAGGAATGGCTAGAAGAGGAAGTAATTGAAGAGGCTGATAAAAATTATCAAGGGCAAGTTCTTTACCTTCCTCATCGAGAAGTTATCAGAAAGAATAGCACTACAAAACTTCGACCGGTATTTGATGCTTCGGCCAAAGTAAAAGGATTTCCTAGTCTTAATGACTGCTTAGAAAAAGGCCCAAATCTAATAGAACAGCTTCCGAGTATTTTAACATGCTTTCAAAAAGAAAAGATTGGTGTTATTGCTGATATACGAAGAGCCTTTCTTCAAATAAGTGTTTCACCTACTGATAGAGACTTTTTGCTGTTCTTATGGCTTGATAGTGATGCTCAACTGAAAGTGTACAGGCACTGCCGTGTAGTTTTTGGTGTAGCAAGTAGCCCTTTTCTTCTAAACTCTACAATTCAGCTTCACCTACAAACTGTTTTCGAGAAAATAGAAACCGGTGAATCCTTATATACGAAAGGTGTCATTCAAAAACTTATGCATAGTTTTTATGTTGAAAATTGTGTCAGTTGTGTTAAAAATGAAGAAGAACTCAATCATTTTATTAGTGTATCAACTGAGGTAATGGTTGAGAGAAAATTTGAGCTTAGAGGGTGGGAGTTCAATGATATTAATGCTGAAAGTTATTACTTCAAGAAACTTGGAAGCAGAAGATAGATAACACGGGATGAAGAAGTTGATACCTGTACGAGAACTACATTTTTAAAATGGTTGAAAGATATTGACTATCTGGAAAAGATCCATTTTCCAAGATATTTTGGTTCAAGGAGTACGAGTGAAAATACTTCAGTACATATTTTCTGTGATGCCAGTAAGCATGCTTATGCCGTGGCTGCTTTCATTCGTATAAAAACTTTTGATTCTACTAAAGTACAACTGATACAAGCCAGGAGTAGAGTTACACCAACTGGAAAAGAAGAAACTACTATCGCGAGATTGGAATTACTTGCAGCTACTATAGCATCTCGCCTTTCGTCCTCAGTTTTGCCTGAGATACAAAGTGAAGAAGTTTACTTCTGGACTGATTCTTCTACTGTTTTAGCATGGATAACGAGAGAAGAAGCCTGGAGTGTATTTGTCCACAATAGGGTGAAGGAAATAAGAAGACTAACAAATAAAGATTCTTGGAGACATATTCCTGGTTGTATGAATCAAGCTGATCTTCCGAGTAGACGTTGCTCAGCTATCTCCTTATTGAAATCTCAGTGGTGGTTAGATCCAAGTTGGCTTTACTTGCCTGAAGAAGACTAGCCTAAAGGTGACTTAAATTTAGATGAGACTGAGATTGTTAGAGAAAAGAAAAAGAGCATAGTTTCTTCTGTAACTAAATGTTTAGTTTCTGCATGCTTGGTTACCAAGAGAGACTGGTATTACAGATATTTTCCCAAAAGGATAGTTAATCTAATTGCCTGGATCCTAAGATTCAATTCCAATTGTCGAACTGAAAAAACAGTGAGAAAGCATGGAAACCTTGATTCTGATGAAATTTTTGAGGCTGAGAAGTTATTGATCAAAATGGTTCAAGAAGATTGTTTTGTGAATGAAAAGGATGAGAAATTAAGAACTTTAGGAGTATTCAAGGATCAAAGTGGAATCCTCAGACTAAAAACTAAACTTACCCTTCGTGAGGATACAGAAGACTTTAAAACACCAGCTATTCTTCCATCCAATCATGAGGTTGTCAAGAGACTAGTGCGATACTATCATGAGAAAAATGCATATGCTGGTACTCAAATTTTAATAAATATTCTACGAGAGAGATTTTGGATTCTGAATGCTCGTAAAACTGCGAGATCTATCATCAATCAATGCACCGTGTGTAGAAGATTTTCTGCAAAGAACCTAGAAACTTGTAATGGGGCTCCTCCAGAAGATAGATTACGAGAAGCAGCTGTATTTGAAATCTGTGGAGTTGATCTTGCGGGACCAGTAATCCAGAAAGGCAACAAGAAATCTTGGATTTGTTTATTCACCTGCGCCATTTATAGGGCAGTCCATTTAGGGTTGGTTGAATCGATGTCTACTGAGAGTTTTCTACTAGCTCTTAGAAGATTTATAGCTCGTAGAGGACGGAGCAGAATCATATACTGTGACAACGGAACCAATTTTGTTGGTGCTTCAAATGTACTTCAAGACTTAAACTGGAAGCAAATCACTGAAGACACATCTATACACCAATTCAGCGGAAGTTCAACCCACCAACTGCCTCCTGGTGTGGAGACTGGTGGGAGAGATTGATAGGAATTCTTAAGAAATTGCTGAGACGAGTATTAGGAAGAGCTTCGCTAACTTCTGAAGAAATGAACACGACTCTCTGTGACTGTGAAGCAGTAATTAATTCCCGTCCATTGACATATGTAACTGAAAGTGATGCTACTTTAATGCCTTTAAGTCCATCTCTATTTCTGCAAGATAATCAAATAAGTGGTGTTTCAGATCTTGATGACATTGGGCATAAAAGTCTTAAAAAGCGAGTCAAATATAGAGAAAACTTGCAAAAGGATTTGAGAAACAGGTTTAGGTCTGAATATTTAGGAGCACTTATTCAAAAGCAGGAAAAAAAAATCTGTGAAAGTGAATATTGGTGATATTGTATTGATAGGAAGTGATAACACCAAGCGAATCAATTGGCCATTAGGTAAAATAATTCAGATTCTTCCAGGAAAAGATGGAATTACAAGACTTGTCAAGCTTAAAACAGCTAATGGACACTTGCTAAGACCAATTCAAAGATTGTATCCACTTGAAGTTTCCAACGATGATCCCATTATTGAGAAATTTTCAACCGCGAAGGTGAGAGGTGAAACCTGTGCCAATTCTTCCTTTGATAACGTGTGTGGACTTGAACCTCAGATTCAAAAGACTAGAGCAGGTCGTACAATCAAAGTACCTAAGAGACTGGACTTGTGAACTACTTATAATTTTCTTTTTGTAACTTATAAACTATTCACAATTTTCTTTTGTAAGTTAAAATTTTGAGGTAAAAATATTAACTTAGGTGGGAGGATGTGAAGTTGAACCTCTACCTGATTATTTATTATCTTTATTTTGATGTAATTTAGTAAATCGCGATTGGCAACAGTTGAGTTTTTACATCTACGTTTTCGAGTTAGTTCTATTGTTTACTTTCGTTTTAAGTAATGAGAATAATGACTTTTTGAGATGTTTTTCATGAGTATTTAAAAACTGATGAGTAATATTTTATGCCATTTATGTTCTGAGTATTGCTTTGAGGTGTCGAAGCTAAAACTAACACTTAATTACACTTGTAAATAGAATTGTAATATTAAACTGTTTGTGTTGTGACGAGATGTCTTTCATTGGATAATTGATTGTATACTCATTTTCCATCATAATTCTTCTGATATCGAAGGTAAAATGGGATAGTATCTACTCGTGGCAGGAAAACTTCTGAATGATTTCATGCTGTTTTCAGCATTTCACATTGAACAATAAGATGGCCACATCAGTTAACTTAGCTGATAAAACTGAATAATACATGCATAAAAATGAGCAATACAATATGAATACATACATTGACCCTAGACATCATTCACCCTAGAAAAATTTTGGAATTCTAGAAAGTTAATCATAGCATAAAGCTCTTTCTATAAACAGCTATTTCTATCAAAGTCAAACAGCTGGGCTGACTAAGTAAATTTATTATAGATTATGGTAAAAATTTTTAAATCAAGCAAATAGAATAATTTAAATGCAAACTCTCGCTAGTGACAATGTTTACTATACAGAAAATTCAAGAAAAATGAAAGCATAAGAAAAATCACAGAAAGGTCTTAAACAGGAATACTGCATGATGATTGAAAATGTCTTCTCCAAGTTTGCTTCCCAATAAAGAACACAGAATATTATAATGACATAGATAACATTCTAAAAATAAAAAACACATTTACTTGTCTATCTCGATGTGGAATTACATGATATATTCTTGGAGGTTTGCCTTTCGCCACGATGTCACGTTCTTCACAAAAATTCTTTCCAACAAAATCTCCAGCACCAAAAAAGCCTTCTGTTACCAAAGTCAGGCTACTTATCTTTGCTAATTCATTTCCTAATGCACTGAAAAGAGGGGGGGGGGAAGATAAATTGGCACTCTTTTGTTAAACCTACAAAATACTTAATGCTTATCACATTTTATGCCAAATACACACTTGAATATACTACATTAATTAAAAAAGCGATAAAAATTAAGCTTTATTTATGTAATCCATTTCTGTTTGTACAAAGGCAATGGGTGTCTGAAAAACACGTTAAAAATGTAAAAAAGCAACATAGGAAAAACAGTAACACCTAGTAAAATAATAAGTTATTTTCAGACAAGACATCAGTGACTAATTCAAACTTACTTTGGTTTCTAAACACCAGAACATATGGTTATATCTTGGCTGTTTCCCACACTTGTACATACATACCATATTTGACTACATATAAGACGCACCTTTATTAAGACGGCCAAACACAAGGAAAAAAAGTTTCAATAGCGTGGTTTCTTTTAGTTCTCACATTTCATAAAAGCCAAATAAACAGTTATTGAATGCAATTACCTTCACGTATAAGACGCAGGTAACTTTTTTGAGACCAAATTTAGGAAATAAAAGTGCGTCTTATATGCCGTCAAATACGGTATATATAAAGACAGAGATAAATATAGATATATGTATAAATTTACAAAAAGTACATAGTAATTCATTCCACAAGAAGAAAATAAGCACTCACTTCGTAATATAAAAATTCAGCAAAAAAATTTAGCATCATTAGATTGGCATATTAAACAGACTTTATTCAACACAATTTTCTACTGTTTCATTCTGCAAAACTATATAGCATCCTCATAATACATTGTGATATTTTTTACACACCTAGATAACAGGAAAGATAGTCTCAAACTTACGGGAAAATAGAATCTGGCAAAAGCAACAATCTTTGCAACATAATGCATGGTTCAATATGAAATGCAAAAGAATAAGCAAAGTACGTACAAAGAACAAGGAAAACAAAGAATAGTTCTAGTTACTGATATTTACTAGAAAACAAATTTTGGTATTTACCTGAACTGTTCAGGTGAACATCACCAACTACAATACATGCATCACAATGTAAAAAGGAACCCTTTACCCTCAGTAGTTATAATGCCCTCTAGCAGAAAGCCATATGGATTCACATATTGTATAACAAAAATTGCTACTTTTGTCCCATTCTGTCACCATTTTAACCTTCTCAGAGTTATGGACATAAAAATCCATACAGAAAGGTGACTTTCATATTCATTACAGGAGAAAATTTCTGCCAGCTGATTTTGGGCTGAACGTATATGGAAGAAAAAGAATCAAGATACAGAAAGTCACTTTTTAATTATAATGAAGAAAATAACATATATTTATGATACTTTGAAATTTCGGGGCTAAAGCCTAGATGCTCGGAAGGTTAAACTGTGATATCTTTCCTGCTACAACATATATACATTTTCCAATCTTAAAAAAGCTATTCCCTGTTTCAAACAATTAAAGCTGCACTTTACTTACCTTTTTTAAATAAGGTTTTGATATATAAAAAACGGGGGGGGGGGGATTTTTTATAGATATTGCAGAATTATATATAGAATATTCATCATGCAGTTACACGACAGTAACTTTCATCTTAAAAATTTTGCATTCAAAATGTCTATTTTTAAAATAAAAACAATTAATGTATTTGATTATAGTCATAAATTATCAGAACAGCTTTCTGATTAGGAAGTATGGCAGAAGTTTAAAAATTAACTCAGATAGCAATTCTTAAAAAGTCACAATTTGTAAACCCATCTGAAGGGACCACTTGAAACAGTAATGTTAGACTGAAATAAAAGAGAGTACATTGAGCAGTGAATTTCCCCTGAAAGCATGCTAAATTCGTAAGCGAAAAAACTGTTTTCTAAGTCCATCATATCCTAATAATCAGAACAATTTTTCCTAATTTAACAATATCAGTTTTTAATCAGTAAATTAGGAAATGCATCCCTCATGCATCAGCAGCAAATGCAAGAGTATTTCAGATATCACAATAAGACACCCTAATTTCCAGATGAAACGCAGCATCAGAGTAAAAACTACACCTCAGGAAAATCGGGGGGGGGGAAGGGGGGGACTAAAATCTCACAGAAATGCCGCCCTAAGTAAAATCACTAGTTACATTTTTATGAGCATCATAATTGCAAAATCTTGACCTATGTTATGAAAAAATGCATAAAACAAAACCGTTACTCAAAAATAAAGTACACATAAGACAGTGAAAATTTATTTACGTTCAGGAACATACTTACTATGTATGAACTACATAACGTACACTGCGGGGAGGAGGGGGAGGGACAGTTCTATATCTCCACAAAATTCAAATTTCGTTTTTCATGTCTCGAAAGCGCGACTTAAAATATATGTTAGATTTATATATAGCATTGTTTTAACATAGATATTTTGACAAAATCGGACTTTTTCTGAAATAACATACCAATTTTTTTCCCATATTTCGATTCTACGACTTAAATGATGCCAAGATATTAAATTTTGTAAAATTTGATGCGAAATTTACAGTGAAATTCAAAAATTTTTCAGGCACAATTTTTTCAGTTTGCACCAAGAATAATTCACTTGGCAAATCTCTTAATATGCGGCAGCCAATTTTTCTTTCCCTTCCATTATGCTGGAGCCAGAAAAAAGGTATCTCATTCCTACCTTTTTACATTGTGCATGACAGAAAATAAGGTCACCGCGTTTCTACTTCCAAATAATTTTAGCAAAGTGTTTAAACCACATTATGATGTTTTATCGCTTTCAAGAAATATGCCAAATTTTAAAACGCACCAATATATAAATTCATGAATATCTTCGGAAATTTTGAAGAAAAAACTGCAAATTTTTGCAGGTATGCTTAGAAATATCTCTACTTTAAGATGATGGTAAACATTTCATAGATTATAATTCAAAAATATTTTTGAAAAATTTATAAAAATTATTTAAAAATACAAGTTTTAAAAATAAATCATGAAAAATGGTTGAATTTTATTTGGAATGAACCTAAATTTCAAAATGTGAAAGGAAGAATCAAATAAGTTTAATAAAAAAAGAGAGATTAATAAATATATATCAAACTCAAAGTTGAGGAGCTAAAATTTTGAGAACTAATTTTTTAAAAACTACTCGTACGATTTTTACAAAACTTGGTAGTTTGGAGTTATTCGAGTTGTAGAATCGAAATATGGAAAAAAAATTGTATGTTACTTCAGAAAAAGATCGATTTTGTGTCAAAATACCCATATTAGAACAATGCTATATATATAAATCTGATACATATCCTTAGTCACGCTTTCAAGACATGAAAAACACAAATAGAATTTTGTCAATCGGCCCAGTAGAATGGGAGATATAGAACTGTCCTCCCTTTTTTTTTGCGCAGTGTACATTCATGAATATACTTATAATTACATTTTATATACACTGATGTAGCCTTTAAAGAAGTCAATATATGTAATACTTGTACTATGTTATAAAAATATTACAAGAAGATATTAAATTAAATGGCAGAAGAAAATGTTAAATTTTACTTTTACTAAAGAAAAGAATTACAGCAAACATATGAACTCATCAAACTCTGATTCTTTACTATCTGAATTAAAAAGTTTTAGCAAACCCTGATCTAAATTGTCAAACTACCAGATAATCATATTCATCCTCTTGGTTCACCTTTTCTTTATCTGGGGATATACTTTCAGCTTCTTTGAATGCTGATATTATTGACGAAATTTTGACCGATTTCCACACACCTTTTTATCCATTTTGCAACTTTTTCATAAGATGCTCAATGCATTTTGCCACTTTTGGCATAAGTGTGTAATCCTTCACTTATCCAACACTCCTACTGCTTTTGGACTTCAACTCTAAGGGTTTATTAACTGAAAAATATAATGGTTGTAAGATTTTTGGTCAACCCACCAGGAATTACTACTAAGGTTGTAGACAATTTTTAACACCTAGTTTTCACTAAATCAAGAAAATGAGTACAGATGGAATCTATTATCAACAATCCCTTTGGTTGGAAAAAAGATCCTTTATAACACTGCCAAACACTTAGCAGCAATTCATGCATGCCTGTTTTACACACCCATTCATTCTCGTTTGCACATATCCATCATTAGGAAAATCTCCCTTCGGAATAGTTTTCCATTAGAAAAAGATCATTAGCTTCAGCTTGTCACTGTTTGCGGCACAAGCTAACGCATATGTAAATAGTTTTTTTTCATACCCCATCATAAGCATGAATATAGTTTTTGCACCAGTTTCATCAAGAGCTCTGTTTGCAGGCGTCAAAAGCTAATGATGACTCATCTATATTTATTACTTTTGATAGAGAAACTTTTTTGCTTATTAATAATGTCTATCGCATATTTTAGAAAAGTCTTTATTATCCTGTCAGTCCATTGGTAACTATCCAACTGTTCTAGTACACAGAGGGATATATATATTTCCCTTTTCATAAATCTGCTGCACCAGCAAGGCGTCCTTTTAAGGCATTTATGTTCATTTGTTGCACCATAAATTTTGGTTGTAAGCAAATTTTTATACTCAAAACTGCCATTTTTTTCCCCTTTCTGCATCTTTATCTGCTTTGCACGGTCATTCTCTAGATCTGGCATCTTTTAGTACAACATTTTTTGTGGCATAATTTCAAGTGCCTTTTTCAGTTCTTCAATGTCGAAGACATTGCTCGTCCACTTCATGCTGAAGCTGACAAGTTCTCTAACAGGCAGAATGCCAAGCATTTATTTGTGCTGAAGGTGGAGAAAGAAGAAATCTGTTAGAGTTTGTCATTGCAATGCAGGTGCAGTTGCGTCCACATTTGAAAAGAACCATAGTAAATTTACAACAGAAAGGGAAGGGGAAGTGAGATGATGGGTCCAGGAAGATTCATCAAGGGACAAAGAACAGAGGCTATTCAAGCTGGTGTGAATGCTGATTTGAAAGAGGGAAGAATATAATTGTTTCTAGATTTCATTTAGAGTGAAAAGCCATGTAGGTTCTTTCAAGAGA